TTTCATTATTATTATTATCATTATGTATTCTTTACATAATAAATTTGAAAAATAAATTGGACAGAGTAGGGAAGGGTTAAAACACTTTAAGGATTTTTTGCCATCTGTGTCCCATTGGGGAGAATACTTTCTCCTGTGGGCACAACAGGAAGTAGGAAACAATATGTCCAAAGTGAGGAAAATTACCTCTGGCTGTACACCAGCAGAATTTTGTTTGAAAAAATATATTTTTGGAACATTCATTTGATCTTCTAATAGTTATTGTGCTCAAATTGATGAACATTTTGGAGCACAGTGATAAAAAAAAAAAAGCGAAGGAGCAGGATGGCCATTTTTTTGAGAAAGAACAAAATTTAAAAGTGAATGTGGTTTCCGTTTGGGAAACTCCATTTATTAAAAAATTTGAATGTTAAAATCGAACCGGATTTCAACTGACATTAATCAAATCTCCGATAGCATTATTGCATAAATGTTTAAACAAAAATCCCACGATGTATGGCGAGCATTTGGTAGTGGTCAACGGAATACGGGCCCCCATTGAAAGATTTTCTGGCGAGAAATGGAAATGTTTAACTGCTCTAAATTTCAGTCTTGGTGATAACTGTCAAATGGCCATACTAGATAAATGTCATTGACCAAATATGGGCATGTGGCCATATAATGTCAATGACATCACTGAGTCCTCTGCTTATGCGCAGTTGCAGGCAGGAAATTTCTTGGACGCAGCTGATTGGGTGGCAGTTGAAGGAGTTTCCTTCTACAGGTGAAATTTGAATAATTAGAATATCGTGCAAAAGTTCATTTATTTCACTAATGCAACTTAAAAGGTGAAACTAATATATGAGATAGACTCATAACATGCAAAGCAAGATAGTTCAAGCCGTGATTTGTCATAATTGTGATGATTATGGCTTACAGCTCATGAAAACCCACAACCATGTATGTACAGCTCAAAGACCTAAGTTTGCTAGGTTTAAGTGGTTACCAAAGGATTTTTATGTATTTGATTTATTACAGGCATTTATATTGCACCTATCTCACATGCATACATATGAGGGCCAATTTAGACAGAAGCCAATTAACCTTCCAGCATGTCTTTGGAGTGTGGGAGGAAACCAGAGTACCTATGCAAGCACAGGGAGTACATGCAAACTCCTTGCATATAGTGTCCTGACCAGGATTTGATCTGTATTTGTCTAGCATTTACAGTATTTTTTTCGTGTTTTATAAAAACCTAACCTGGTTGTGATTACACTTGTCAATATGGAAGCTAATTAGGAGAGGTTTCCTTCACAGTTACTGAATTTTAATTTACCACTTTTGTTTTTGTAAAACATTTCTTTGTATTTTTATAGATAGGCAAATCTTGGCTGTGTGTATGGTAGGTCATCTAGTAATTTATTTGCTCCCTTATTAGAGTGCTGTAGGAGTTTGCCATGTTTTGCCCATTACTGTGGACGTTATGCCCCTGAGTTCTTACATATGGGACTCTGTCCTCATTGAGCATGTGAGAAGCATTGAGGATCCAGCTTTTATTTGTTTGCGTAGACCACTGGAGATTTCTTAGCCTCTATGATATCAAAATTCTCATAACAAAATACTATACTTATCTTACCTTATCTTAGGACAGGCCCTGATAAACAAACATGGCACATTCCTTATTAGGGCAGTAATGTCACGGGGTTGGATGATTCCAAATACAAGCAGGAGCTCCATTGGGTCCAACCTACTGCTCCTTATAATTGATGACAGTTAATAAGGAACCTGGTGAGGGATCCAATAGACCCCTTCACCATTTCACAGATGCAAGGTTTAGTTAGCCTGGGTAAATCATCAATCCAGGCCACCCATTGCAAATTATGGTGTGACAGTCCCCGATGGATGTTTCCTAGTGTAGAATAAATAACTAATTTCTGAATATAGCCACAAATGTGGCACTTTCATTATGATCTTGCGTCCTCATTATGATCTTGGGTTACATATTGCTGTGAGGAGATTTTAGTATGAAAATGTCTGTGAGATATTTAAAAAATCCAGTGATCCCCCCCCCCTCATTGTTCCTCAGACTGATATCAACCACCCTTGCCATGACAACTGATGCCTTTCCTTTCAGATACTGCCATGCATGATTCTTTTTTTCAGGACCTGGTCTCGCTTTTATCGCTTACCCGAAAGCTGTCACCATGATGCCTATGGCCCCATTATGGGCAGCCTTGTTTTTCATGATGCTCATTTTTCTGGGACTTGACAGCCAGGTAAAAAAAAAGTTGTAAATGTTTTCTTTATATTAATATGATTTATTTTTCAATTGTATCACTCATGCAGTAGTTATACAGCTGTCAAAAGTGACTACATTGCAAAATTCTGTAGCTATACTGATGTTTATTCTTTGGGTATACTGCACTATTGCCCATACTACACATATGGATTTGGGTCTTCTTGTACTGTAGGGGTGATCTTATATGGATCCACCATTATTTGTGCTAAATTAGCCATCTTACATACTGTATAGTAGCTTGGTTTTAATTTTTTTCAAAGGATAAGTGTGCTTTAAAACAAAGAGGAAGAGAGAGCAGAGTCACAGAGAGGTGGACTCATCAGTCTGCTGCTGCTTATTTCACTATCCAATCAAAGGCCAGGGGAGGTACAAGACCCATAAACTTACTTAACTGCAGCAAAGAAAATCAGTAGACATGTGCACTGCCAAAAAATTCGTATCGTTTCGTTTAGTTTTAAATTCGGATTTGTGGTATTTCGTTTTTCGGGATTCGGGTGTGAAAGTCAATTTGGATTCGGAATTCGGATTCGGACGAAATTCGGTAGCGTTAGGTCGAACGTTCGTTTCGTTTTCTGTTCTTATTCGTTTATTTTTCGTTTCTTATTCGTTTCGTTCGTTCGTGACATTCGAGGAGGAAAAAATATTTTTCTCCTTCTCTAATGTCACTTTGCTCCAACGAACGAAACGAATAAGAAACGAATAAGAACAGAATACGAAACGAACGTTCGAACTACCGCTACCGAATTTCGGAAATGGAAATTCGGATTCGTTTGCATTCGTTATGTCTGTAATTCGGAATTCGGATACATCCGAATGTCCGAATTTCCGAAAATTCGTCCGAATTTCGATTCGGAACGAAACGAATCGCACATGTCTAAAAATCAGGTCCAATGTCCTTCCAGACAGGGATCTACTGTGCCAGAGCTATGTAAATGTAAGAACTGGATGGACAGAAGTAAAAATCCATTGGCAGGTAAAACAGATCCAATATATGTATTCCATCTGTGTGGTTAACTGTCTGGAGTTTAGCATTAAAATGTTTTTTTTTGAGGGGGGCGGGGGGTTGGGTTCAGGATTAGTGCAGGTGTGGATGGGCAGTCAGAGGTGAAAAACATTTAGGAGTTTTTATTTTTACCCTGCTTTTGGTGCCAAGACCCCTTTGACATTGATCTGATATCACAGTTATACTTGTTCACGTTATACTAAGCATCTTTGGTGCAGGTTGAGAACATGAGCACCGATTTTGAATTGAGAACGTCTGCAAACTCTGTTATACAGAAATTGTGAATACGGTTTGATATTAATCATGCAATCTTTATGCTTGCAGTTTGTGTGTGTAGAGAGCTTGGTAACTGCCGTGGTTGATATGTATCCAAAGATTTTCCGAAGAGGTTACAGACGTGAATTGCTAATCTTAGCACTTTCCATTGTATCCTTCCTTATTGGCCTCATAATGTTAACTGAGGTAAGATAATGTCAAATTATGGATTTCACAGTATTGCTCTCATTTATTCTAATTGTTTTGCAGTAGAATAACCTTTAACATTTATTAGGTTGATGTAACAAACATTGGGTCAGTTGAATGTGAGATCATGTAAACTAAAACTGATCATACACATTACAATCTGACAAACGTTCTTCAGTAATTTTTAGTCACAATAATTTTTATTAGGGACTGAAAGTAAGAAGTCAGAATACAAGTATAGCACATAGGCTTCAAGAATATACAAAATAGTGCAATACATTCAAAACAGAACAGTCACAGCATCAAATGGGACTTCCCCCAAGGCCTCCATATGCAGAAATCAATATCAGGCATGAAAAACAATAGAGCAAAGCCTGTACACAAGGCTGCTCATAAAGGCATATACCGAGCCCAACACTGGTACATTTTCCAACAGTGAAAGTACTAAAGGAGCAAAGAAAGAAACCAGAAACAAGAGAAAGCAAAAAGAAGAGAAATTGTATAAAGAGAAGACGGAAAGAAGTGGGTCCCAAAGGAACACCAAAGAGGGAAGCGACAAGGGGAAGAGAACCTGGTATATCCAGACCACAGTTTTCCACCAGAATGGTTGCACACAGGGCAATCATAGCATTTGTCCCACCTCCATGGGCATATTATTAGTTATCCAGGGGTCCCTGATTTTATGGAACTTACACATAGAGGTCTATTCACTAAGCTGCCAAAGGATCTAGCCATAGCTTCGGCTGATCCTTCGGGTAGCTTAGGCCCCAGGACCCCCTCGGTTCAGCAGAGTAAACCTTTCCTTGCGATCCGTGTTTTTTTTTATGACATGGGGCCGCTGGCCGCCCTCAGTCAGAAAAAAAAAAAGCTGCTGTGAATCACCAGAAGGGGACCTGCAGTTCTCCATCAGGTCCCCTTCTGGTGATTTATAGCAGCAGAGGGCGGGTGCAATAGCTAGTTTGCTATTGGCTATTGCAAAGTGAAATAGCCAAAAGGAATCTAGCTATGCATTCCTACGGTGTTTTTTTTTATTCTGACGGCAGCAGAACCACCCGGCCAATAGAAAACAGTTGGGCGGAGCTAACTGTCACTGTTAGCTCCGCCCAATCGTTTTCTATTTTATTTTTTCTACTTTTTTAACTGGTTTTCTATTCTGCTCGATACCACAGAGGTACCGGACAGAATATCGGAGCCGAATGTCGCTCAGCTATTCACTCACTGCTGTTCGGCATCTATGAGAATAGGCCGAACAGCAGCGAGTAGCCTGCCAACATCTGGATCGGCTGAGTCGAACTCCTTCTGCACTTCGGGTCGGCCGAACATTCTCAGCATGTTCGGCCGACCTGAAGCCAGCCGCAGCAAGCCGATGTACGGCTGATTTTAGTCGGTGTACGGCTGAAATCAGACGCACAAGCCTGAAGTGAATAGCCGAACAGCGTTCGGCTCACTTCACTTCAGGTCGGTCTTTCACTTGGCTGCCTACGGCAGCTTTGTGAATAGACCCCATAGTGTATTGCCAATTAGCAGAAATGTGTTCGTTCACCAGATACCATAACATGTTTCTTTTGACTAGCAACACTCTTAGAGTAGCTGATTTCCAGGCTTTAGCGAGAACCTGTTTATCCACTGTAGATATGAAAGTTATGACTTTCAATTGAGCTACTGTACGATCAGCTGGCTTAAGAGTCCCATGGGTTCATCGAATACTTCTAACCAGTACCATATACACAAGCTAGTAAGTCCCACCAGAAATGCTTAATTTTTGGACAGACCCATCAGATATGCTGATTATGCCAGAATCTGGGCACCCACAAAAACAATGGAGTGAAGTACCTGCTAAGAATGTAGCTATGCTTTGGGGGAACCATATAGTTTACAGTAAATTTTACATTGGCCAAAACTGTGTGATGTGAGGGCTTTTGTAAACACTGCATTCAATCTGTACCCAATGAGTCAGGCTCTCACACCCAGGGGTAAATGTATCAATATCCTCACCCAAGATGCACACAACTTTCACCCAAGATTCTAACATTCCCAATGCAATCCAATTTTGACATGTGTGAATCTTGTGTGAAAGTCAGGTGAAAAATGTGATACAAAACCCCATAGTTCTTAGAATCATGAAGCCTGTAACAAATGGCATGATAGAAACATGTAAGAATCAATTGGCTATACAAGATTTGCATAGATAATCTTTTTGTTTGTGTGTTTTTTTAGGGAGGAATGTATGTCTTTCAGCTTTTTGACTCATATGCAGCCAGTGGAATGTGTCTTCTGTTTGTCGCAGTGTTTGAATGTATCTGCATAGGGTGGGTTTATGGTAAGTAAATATGGCATGTGCATCAAATTTATGGAAATTCACACTGTATAAATCCGTTCTTCTTCCTGTACCTGCTTTCAAAGTGGAAGAAAAATAAAACAAAATATGTCTCAAAGGGAATGTGTAGTGGTTTTGTTCATATTTTCTTTATTAATTATGGTCAGGAGTAAAATAGAAAATGTCAAAATAAATATGAAATATTGCATTGTATTACTAGAGTATATAGTAATACTGATACTGTTATGCCATTTTGCAAGGGAGGATTCATTTAGCTCGGTGAATGTAGTAATGTTCTGCTAACTTTCATCATCCAAATGTGCAGGCCAAAGTACTTTTTATTTAATTTTTTCTTCATTGCACATGGTTGGGTATTCTCTGCGAAGTAACTTTTCACCACATTTACTAAGCTAATGGAAAATTCCCTTGCAAAGTAAAAATCCCTTTGCGAAGTGAACAACCTGTTTGTCTTTAATAAATCAACCCCATAGACTCATGATATCAGTGACTTATGCCTTATCTGAGGGCTTAGACCGAGGCTTCAACCAGACAAAGGGAACCTCAAAGCAATCTGCTTCTGCTGTGTTGTCTCTTTAACCATCCTAAAGTACTCAGAGAATCTTTTTTTATGGATTCATTGTTTATTTGTAAAAAAAAGCTGGTAAATACAGTAAAGAAAATATAACAAGAGTTTAACCATTTGAGTTCCAGACACCATTTTAAAATGGTACAGGGAAAACAGCTGTTTCAGTGACAGCCAGGGTCCAGCACTAAGACCTGGAGCTAAAAAGATTAGCTCCTGGGCTTCCAATGCTCCTACAGATTGCTCCATAGTGGCATGCTGTAGATTTAAATGTAAACATGATACTTTTGCATTGTGTTTTCATCGTGAGAAGAGTGACTAACATCACACCACTTCCTGTCAGTACTGACCATCATTGCAAATAAAAATCAAAGAAATAAAAGGTATAATCTGCAGAACTAAGACATCACTTAGGCCCCGTTCCCACTGCGCAATATGCAAATCGCGCGTTTGTCGCGCAATTTGCATATTGCGCTGCATCGTGAGATTTGCCGCGCGATGTCGCGTTCAAGCTTGCATTGAGCAAGCTTGAATCACGGCTAAATCCGCTCAAAAAAGGGTCCTGCTGTAGCGACACACGACCCGCTACAGCAGGACCCTTTGCCCCATTGGATTGCATTGGAGCGCGATATCGCGCGGTAATTTGCCGCGATATCGCGGGAATTACCGCGCGATAAATCGCTCAATGTGAACGGGGTCTAAGATTTTTAAAAAAGGCTCTGGGGCTGAAGGGATTTAAAGTAGAACTCCAGTTTAAAAGATATATATACACTGCAGCTTAAGGCCAGTTTCCCCAATTTAACAACCTTTGTCACATGCTGAACACTGTATTTGCTAACGTGGTGTACATGATACAGTGTTCAGCATGTGACAAAGGTTGTTACATTGGGGAAACTGGTCAATGAGTGAAGCCACTGCATGACATACAGGTTACAAAATATCAGAATAATTATCCTGTTAACACTGCAAACTCGAGCAAGGCGTCCACTTTACAATGACAAGAGCTTGTCAGGGGTGAATCCATACTGTGTGATATATTGGGGAACAGCAGAACTTGCTACTTATTTGAGTTTGCTGTTGTTGGTGCTACCATTGCCATTGCATTGTGAGTGAAGGTATCACTGGAATGTAATTTCCAAGTGCCCTTTTGACTGCTGCACTGCTTTGAAGATGAGAATAAAATTATTTTGTAAATTGATGGCTGCTTACCAAAAAATGACAGCAGTGATGTGTGTACAATTATTTATGTTATTTTACTTGACAGCATGAGTGGGCAAATAAGTGCCTGATTCACTGAGACATCAAAGTTTGATGCACAACCTAACTGCAACAAATATAATTTTTGTTACTGTGTCCTAAAAGTCAAAAGATTATGTGTATGCAATTGGTCTCTTGTGTAAAACACTTGGAATCCCTTGTTAGTCAATTACAATAACAAAAAAGTTGATTGGGGCTGGTCACATTTCAAAGAAAATATATGGACGCAGATATCTGCAACCTTTGTTTTCTTTGGATAGAGTGTGAAGTTTTTATTTCAGTCTGTGTCCCAAATGGGGAGATTTCGCCCTCTGTTTGTCCTGGTCACCATTTTCACCAAGATTGAAAGTGTCAGGAAATCAAGAAGAATTCCAGTTCCAGGGACAATTGTCTTAGAGGAAATTCCCCTCACTTTGGGAGATTTCCTCTAACTTCCTGTTGTGTCTCTGGTACAAGAAAGGAAGGAAAATGTTACCAATGACACAAAGCAAATAATAAACTGACAGGTTTTAACCCTTCCCTATTGTATCTAAAACAAAGAAACAACATACCTTTGGTTATAAATACACTTTAACTGCTCAGGATTGTTTTACACAAGCCAAGCAAAAAGCTATTTTCTGAATTTTTTCCTGAAACTTTTATCTTTCTTCATGCAGAAACATACAGATAACAGTGAGAATCATAAGTTAGCAAGTTCACCATCTATAACTGTGATGAATGATGATTATCATTTGTTATAGAACACTGCTGCACTGGGATTGACACAGGTGACCAACACTATGGGGTCTATTCACAAAGCTGCCGAGGGCAGCCGAGTTAATGACCGATCAGAAGTGAAGTGAGCCGAACACTGTTTGGCTATTCACTTCAGGCTGGTACGGCTGATTTCAGCCGTACATCGGCTGAAATCAGCCGTACATCGGCTTGCTTCGTGTGGCTTCGGATCAGCCGAACATGCTGAGCATGCTCAGCATGCTCAGCATGTTCGGCTGACCTGAAGTGCAGAAGGAGTTCGACTCAGCCGATCCAACATCTGGATCGGCTGAGCCGAACCTCCGGCAGGCTTCACACTGCTGTTCGGGCTATTCTGAAAGATCCCGAACAGCAAATAATGAAATATAGAGCACCAATACAATACTCCCCCAAAGAAATGCTGTGTATGGTGAAAGCACCTTATTTAATTGACTGTGGAAATGACCAGGTGGGCACAAGGGAAGAAGAAGAAAGGGCATGCAAGGCATACACAGGGTTTTTTTTATCACCAGTAATATGGACTGCAAAAATACTATAAAACTTTGAGAAAAATTAAATACATGTTGCAGTTAGAATGCGCTCTTTAAATAATTTATAGTAACTGATATAGGGGGTACTATAGTTCAGATAACATTGCATGATTACCATAACCTGGCTGCAATTTAAACATTTATTCTACATTTGCAGGAAGCAATCGATTCTATGACAACATTGAAGATATGATTGGCCATCGTCCTTTTGTTTTAATTAAATGGTGTTGGATGTTCTTTACTCCTGGAATTTGTGCTGTAAGTGTATTTAAAAAAAAACAATAAACTGTATAGCCATTGAAAAAACAGTATAGTCATTAGAGCTTAAAGCAGAAGGAAGTATCTACCTGTACGTCTTTGGATCCAGGGCCCAGTTATGTCAACGAAGACTTATCATGTTTGCTTGACACCCTGTAACATTACCCTCCTCATGTATCACTTCCCCCTCTCTTTTAGATTGTAAGTCCTCATGGACAGGGCCCTCCTTACCTTCTTGTTTTGATTTGTATTGTAATGTCTTCCTATATGCCTCGGCTCAGCTGAACCGCGCTGAAAGCCGAAGCTGGCGGAGTGGCCGGCCATTGGCCGACAGCCTGCTTCTGACAGCTGGGCGGAGCCAGCCTTGATCTTGCAGAGAGATCAGCCGTCCTGGTTACCAGCTAACCAGGGACACTGATCTCCAGACTGCAAACACTCCCGGCCGCCCAGGAGAGAAACACTGCTTTTTTTCCCCTTTATTCTGACACGGAGCCGTGTCAGAATAGAAAAAATATATATATTTTTGCCCATAGGAATGCATTGCTAGATTCCTATTGGCTTTTTCAATTTGCAATAGCCAATAGTAAACTAGCATTGCACCCGCCCTCTGCTGAATCACCTTTCAACATCTCGTGGAGTCACGAGGCGGCCCAACGAAGTCATCTCATGGAGTCATCTCGTGGCCCAACGAAGTACTGATGGAGTGGTCATAATAATCTGGCCACTCAGTGTATATTAGGCATGCACCGATACTTTTCAGATACCAGTGCCGATACTTTTTTATGAGAACTACCAGGGTTGCAGCGATTGCATCTGGGACCTGGCTCTGGCGCTCCACCACTGTCCTGAAATCATTAGTCTGTATTGTTGTAAAAAAACCTGTCACATGACAATAAACAAAAATGTATCAGTACTTGTACTTGTAAGTACATGAGCAAGTATAAGTACTTATACTTGCAAAAATGGTATTGGTGCATCCCTTTATTTATATTTATAGAAACAAAATCATACATTAAAACCGAGATGTACAAATCTCAGGAGCTCCGTGTGTTCCTTACAAATGACAGCTGCCTCCTAACTTTTTAATTTTTTAATACTAGTCATAGGACCAATCTTAATAAATGGAAATCTCCTATGATGGGTGATATTTATTAGTTTGACCTCAAGCCATATAGGCAGGGGTATGAGTATGGGTATTTTGCTTTTCCTGAGTCCTTCCTCCCCTCATTAACATGACATGTTAATAGAATTTTTAAATAAAACCTTTCAATTTTAATTACATACCTTATGTTAGGCAAAACAACATCATCACTGGGTCTCTGTGCTTCTCTATCCAAATCAGGAATCACATGGCTGGTGGGAGAACAGGGAGGGTGCTGTACATAGCTTCCTGAAAAAAATCACAGCCACCTTTGTCAGTACGTCTCTTAAAAACCCTTAGTTCTGATGTAAGAAATGGACTGGCTCTTGGGGGAAGTTATGCAAATATTAAAATGCATTGATGGGTGGATTTTAATATTATGTGAAGGATGAGTGAGAATGACTAAGCAAACATTTCCACCTTTAAAAAAAAAGGAAATATGTTTTTGCAATAATTTTGTGCCTCTTGATTCAACTCTTTGAGAAGGCATGGGTAGAATAGAAGGGCATATAAGGCATGGATGAGCCCCCCATATACTGTATTAACAGAAGGTAAAATGGCACAAACATGTTTTGGGCAAACTGCTAGAAGTTCATCAATGGCCCCACTGAGCACATTAATCCAATCCCAATTAAAACTGAAAAGTGTAGAGTTGCCTCACTCACCTTTAGTTACAAAAATCCATACAGATCATCATGGCATCCTATATGAGCACCCTAAAGTAGTTTTTAACAATTCAGAAGCAGTTTTGAAACTGGAGCTAAGAAATATGTATTAGTCCTGATTGGTGGCATTATTTATTTGGTATAACAAACCTCTGTGTTGCTCCATAATAACCAATCACATTCAGCCATTTACTATTTCATTTTTGCTTAACACTGCCGGTTAAAATCTGCATATAGGAAAGTTTTGATAAGTGAGATTGTATATTTTATTAGAAGCACATATCTACCTGTTGCCTGAACAATATGGTTTTAGTGAATGCATGTTTTTTTTATTTTTTTTAGAGCATCTTCATATTCTTTTTGGTGAAGTACAAGCCTCTGAAGTACAATAATGTATATACATACCCACCATGGGGTTATGGAATAGGCTGGATGATGGCCCTTTCGTCAATGGTGTGTATTCCACTGTGGATAATTGTAAAGGTGTGGAAGACTGAAGGAACCTTTTCTGAGGTAAAAATGTTAATAATCATTACAGGACATCTGCATTCTTCCTTGCATGCATTGATATAAACTATCTTGCATCTAAACTATACTGTATACCCAACAAAATATATTATTTCTAAAGCTGGCCATACACTGTTAGAATTTTAGCCAATTACCAATGATGTTCTCACTTTTCTTATTATTACATTGAGATTGAAACTTAAAGTATGTTTCACATTTCTAGCATGAAACTTGCACAGATGGCAAGTGGGAAGGGCTACAACTGCAAATTACCACTAAGAGGGGAGTAGGTTGCTGAGACCAGTTTTTTCAATTATCTTTCCCAATGTTATCTTTGTAGGATGGCTTTCAGCAGAAGATAGGCAGCAACTTCTTTATCCTACACATTAGGCAGCTTTTGGGCTAAAAAGCCTTTAAGGTGCAGGTTATGTGAAGATTGTTCAAAACCTTTGGGATGTGTTAGCTTTTAAAAGATGTATGTGTAATGACGTTTTATTTTTATTGCCACAATCTGAAGCTTTGTTTTTGTGAAGCAACCCACCACTCTGCAGACTTAGCTTCCTTCCTAGTATGAGCATTTGACTTTGATGCTGCCTCCAAATAAAGTTCAGGTGGACTGATTTTACATATACAGTATTTTATTCACATTGCAAGAATACCTATACACAATGATCTCCACTGAGAAGTATAAAGCTTTAAACTAAACCTGTGCCTAGATCATGCAGCCTAACGTATGTACTTATTCCAAACAGGCAGTAAAGGCACTTTAAAACAGGGCCCCAATAACTCTATATCTAAAGGCATTGTTGAGAAATTAATTTTCAAAGTTAAAAAACTAGACACTGGAATCCTAGCTTTTTTATGAGAGCAGATCTTGTCAGCCTGCCTGCTTGTAGACAAACTGCAGATATTTAAAATCGGTTAGAAAACAACTGGAACCTGATTTTAATTTTTTTTAATGATCTTTGAGGATCTCTGAGAGCAAATAGCTTTACAATAAAAGCAGCTAGAGAGACAACTGAAGTCTTGTTTAAAAGTTCTTTTTACTACTTGTTAAGATTATGTAAATAGGTAAATGTTCATAGTCTGAGCATGGGTGTACTTTAACTCCAGACAGCCATCTAAGAACAAAATTGAAATTAGGGGTCAACCAATATGTTTTTTTTAGAACCGATACCGATTATGGATCACCTTTCAGGCCAGCAGCTGAATATATATAGCAGGCAGTGGACGGTGCAAAAGCCAGGCTGCTATTGGTTATTTCAATTTGCAATAGCCAATAGCACAGCCGTCCACCTGCTGAATGCTGTCAATCAGCAGAGGAGCAGACTTTAGAGAGAACTTTCTCTCTCAGGTCCGCTTCTCTGCTGAATAACAACAAGCAGTTGGTGGGTGCAATAGCCAGCCTGCTATTGGCTATTGCAATTTGAAATAGCCAATAGCAGCCACCGCCCACTGCCTGCTGTTTACATTTAGCTGCCTGCTGTCCATGTGTGGGAGGATGCATCATGGAATCCCGCTGTTTCTTTTTTATTCTGACAGTGGCCTCTGCCTAGGAAGCTGGGTTATGGGGGAGTTGGGTGTAGTGAGAATACTGAAATTATACATGTTAAAAAAACAACAACTTTTTTTCAAACTGTTCTCACAGTAAGGATGCAGAAAGCAGCGATGACATAACATCAGCACCTCTCTCTGCATCAGTGAGGACAGTTGGGAGAAAAGAACCCTCTTCACATGATTGGCCTGAAGACATGTAAAAAAGATAAGTATAATAGAAAAATTGTGGGTGAGCCTCCAGAGCGGAGCACTGAGGTGCAGGAAGGGTAAGCCCAGGGTTGGGCTTCATACTACCCTTACAAAATAAACTAAGCCTTAATGGTTGAAAAATCATAGAAAAAAAACCACAACAGTGCTTATCCTCAACTTCCTTAGCCTCCACTTTGTGGCCTACTATTTCCTTTATAACCAGAGAAGCACATTCAATACTGTGACCTGTCATTTTTGACATTTATGTATAACTAACTCAAAGACCACACTTTATTTTGTAGCGATTCAAAAAGTTGATAGTGCCCAGCCCAGACTTGAAAATGAGGGGGAAACTCGCAGCTGCTGCCTGTACAAATGCCGTAAACGACTGTGATCCCAAGCTTAAAGGTGATGGAACCATATCAGCCATTACAGAAAAAGAAACTCACTTCTAAAAACAACATATTTTATTTTCTGGCTGTTGTTTTGTAAAATAAGAATATGAAAAGGATGAAATATTATTACTTGGAAATTAATAGAGGCTCACATGTTTCGCACAGATTTTAACATGTTTAATTTCAAAGTGCACATTGTATACTGTTTAAAGTGATTTTTAATTATTATATAAGTGACTGATTACAAAAAAACAGTATTGTATGGTCTTTTAGTGCCAAGTTTATGTAATATTGTGATACTTGTCAATGTCTTATATATAGCTTTAGACACATGTATAGTGTGTTGTAAAATTTTTATACTTGGATTTTATGAAGCATGGTGTTTGTATAGAAACTTCTAATATAATGTACACAGAGTCGACCATTCCAGCTTTTAATGTATGCCTATAGAAAAGCCTATTTTCTTAATTTCTTGCTTTTATGACATTATCTCTATTTAACACCATTCCCTCCTCGGAATGCCAGCGTTGGTACCAAGCCACCAATGTGGTATTGGCTTGTCCAAGGTAAATTGTTAACGTATAACTCATGTACGCAACATATTTTTCCTACTTATATTGCTGATTCTGAAAGTTCTCTACAGTGGCTCGCATACCTGATATTTAAAGTAGCACTCCATTTTGATATAATGTAATACTTTGAAGCAGCGGAGTAAAAATGATCAGTGACATAAACAATATGTTCTGTATTTCCTAGACCTTGAATTATCCAGTGTACCTATGGCATATTTCAGATTTTGCTTATTGCCATGGTTAAACTGCAGCCTGAGATCATGGAATGCAGCTGTGCCTAAGGAGTGCTTCTTTTCAGTCTCTTCACAGAATTCTGTAAGCGTAGCTGTTCATGTAGTTCTTTACAGGTAAAACATAGACTTTGAGGCTTTCTGTTTGGATGCATTAAAAGCCTATACAAGGGTAAGGAAACAAGGTAGGGAGTGAATATTATTTAAAGATTATTTAAAGATTAGATTACAGCATCAAAGTAAAGGTGTTGTTGATTATCATGAAAGAACACCCCTAAATATCCCATGTTATGTTGTTTTTTTAATAATCTGACCTTGTATTGCTTTATATGAAACTTCTAAATCTTTCCCAAGAAAATATATGAATTATAGAAACATAAAGCTTTCTAGCCTAACAGAAGAATAATAGTCTTAAATAATGAAAGTGTGATTTCAGACATGACCCTATATGTGTATCATTGGTTTGCTGGATAAGATAATTTAACTAGAGTTATGTTTCAGTCTGCCATGTTCACAGAGCAGTTTTCAATGCCATACCTGCCACTCAAAGATCAGCAAACTCCTTCATGAGTATTCAGTTGTGCACTGATTAACCCTATTTGCTATAGTCATTGTGGGTGAATGCTAATAAGATAAATTCAGCAATATTGTACCAGAGTAGCAACACATTTGTATCGGAAGTGAAGGTTTGGTTTAGAGGGGTGTATTCATCTTCAGATGATTTGAAAGTAATATGCCATGACAGAAGAGAGACAGTTCCTATACCTTGAATACAGAGAAGATAATTTATCAAAACTGGAGCAGACAAAATCAACATGGCAAACAATCAGTCTCCCGCTTTCATTTTCAAATCTTAACTGAACAAACTTAAGAGAGAAGCTGATTGGTTGCCATGCACAGCTGATCCAGATTTTGTCTGCTCCAGTTTTGATAAATTCCCTCCAGAATACTTAAAGAGAACTTGTCCTTTTAATACATACCTGGCTGGAATGCTTCAATGACAACTTCACCTTTAGTGATGCTGTCCTTCAATAAATCCCCTACCTCCCTGAGTGCAGACCATTCAGTGTAATACTTGTCGTCTTCCTCAATCTTTACTCCAACAAGCTCCTGATTGACTTCTATTTATACTGCAAATGCACACCACCGCCCTATTCATTCCTATGGGCATGCCGTACTCATGGTTGCTTCCAATATGGCTTACCATATGAGTAAATGGGATTGTGGCTCGCATGCACAATATGTAGTGGAGGTGGCCAGAACCTTGTCGGATTAAAGATTGCTGTATCAGGGAGGAAGATATAATCCCAGGCAGGCTGCACTGGGCAGAGGGGGAAGTGGATTTATTGATGTATAGCTTCACGAAAGGTCCATCAGATTTTTAGTTTCACTGTGTGGGACATAACTGCCCTAAATCCTGTATCTGGCCTGAAAGTCAGGAAATATCTACTGTTTTTGGAGGGCAGAAGTTATATCTCCAACAGATGATTTCCTTGATTAAAATTTTAAGCTTCTGCTCTTAATACTTTCCCGGTTGAGAATGTTCTAGATTTACCAACAGGCCACATTCCTGTTCATGAGTGTTTACATCAATTCCAGTGAAACAAAGGGGTCTATTCACTAAGCTGCCGAAGGATCTAGCAGTAGCTTCGGCTGATCCTTCAGCTACCTTCGCCCCCAGGACCCCTTCAGTTCAGTAGAACCGAAGGGCTGCTGTACGGGCTATTCACTATAGCCCGTACAGCTGTCGAAGTCGGCCAAGTGGATTAGTCAAGCCGAAGGCATATGCTTCGTCTCGACTGAGCTGAGGTGAAAGCCGAAGGTGGCCGAACGGCCGGACATTGGCTAGCCGACAGCCTGCTACTAACTGCTGGGTGGAGCCAGCCGTCATCTCACGGGTGGCTCCGGCCACTTGCACAGACAGATCAGTGTCCCTGGTTACCAGGTATGCTGATCTCCAGATAGCCCAACTCTCCCGGATGCTCCGGGAGTCTTCCGCTATTAGATAGCAGCTCCCGGCCACCCTGGAGAGCAACACTTTCTCCGGGTAAGTTTTACTCTGCTCGATTGAGCAGAGTAAACCTTTCCCTGCTCTGTTGGCTGGCGTCAGAATGAAAAAAATGATATACAGCTGTAATCAGCCGTACAAGACTGAAGTGAATAGCCGAACAGGAACCGGTAAGTGTCGTAAAATGGCTTTCCTACTGACTGGCCAGGTAGGTATTAAAAGGACAGATTCCCTTTAAATAAACTGACTCATGTAAACTATATAACTAAATAGATTTCCTTTATGTCTTTTTCTGTGCTCTTAGACCATGTCTAGTAAAGGCCAGGCATTTATTTTCACTGCAGAAAACCAGAACTCAAAGCTGACCTTTGGATACTATGTAACTAAAAAAAAAAAACACAAGTGGATTTATTCCTCAAATACTACGAAATATATGTCTATATGTAACCCTTTTCTCAAAATATATGTTAAAAGAGGTAGATTATTTATGTGCAGAACATTATGTGCATGCTTATGCATTGGTCATTTAAATGTAAAAAATCCATACAGCAGATATTCACATAATGTTATTTTATTGTGATCTGTCCCATAAAGGGCCGAAGGCATGAAAGCAACATTTCTTCAGACTGATTCCTGTTTCCCTGTGGAATCCCTTCAATCCTAGACTCCTAGGGCATTCATTTAATTAATTTATTAACAAGCAAAAGGTGGCCTTTCGCTTTTAATTTTTTTTAGTTCAACCTGCGGGCTGAATGAAAAAAATATAACAGATTCCTCCATCTACGCCAATGGACAAATGTCAGCTGGACCGATTGGCTGCCATCAGATTACACCCGATTTTATCAATCGAAGGATGCCGGACGGAAGGTTGACCATGGGGCCACCCACTGAAAGAATTTTGCCCGGTTTCCTAATAAAATTAGCACAGTGCCCCTACCATGTAATTCATCTGTCAAATTCAAGTGTCTCAGTGACTAATAAAGGCATTTGCATTTGACAATAGTAATAGTGGGGGCAGAGGAGTTTATTTACTAAATGCAAAAAGAATGTTCACTTTGCAAGGGAGTTTTTTACTTTGCATGGGAATTTACTCTAAGCACATTTTGAATGAAGAGATCAATTTCAGAATGTTTCGTTTGACTTTCTCATAGTCGATGGGTTCAAATCAATGACTTATTTTGACTACAGTGATCTAAACATTCAAAAGAGCATGTTGCACATTTTTTCTTGATCGAACAAAAAAATTGAATGTGGTTTTCATTCGGGAAACCTAAATCATTCCAAATATTTGGTCGAAAATCTACCAGCATATACCATACTTTAGTGAAAGAGGTGAAGCTCTCCTAATGTCCATTAATCAAAAATGTGCAAGCACAAATACAATATTTTTATTTTATTTGCACATCACTAGATGTTCTTTGCAAAGTGATATTTCATTACATTCACTAAGCTAAGGTTACATTTCATTGCAAAGTAAAAATTCTATAGCAAGATGAGCAGCCTATTTGCTTTTAGTAAATTATCCCCAGAGTGTCATGAGGGACAAGGCGTAATCTTAACTTGAGAAATTGAGGCCACTTGTACATTCTGGGCTTAAAATCTAAAGGGCTCTACTGGTACACAAATATCAATTTAAACTCTATTACAAGTAATTTGCCTGCCCATCAGTGTTATTGTTATTTTATGCATTTTTTAGTCTTGATAAAGATTAGTATAAAATGAGCAATGAGCAAAACACAGTAGGACAGTGACAGTGTCAGAAGTCACTCATGTAAGTACAACAAAATTAAACCTTACTGGCTGTGATATATTAACACACCTGGAACAATACCACAGTATTTTTAGCCTTAATAAAAAAAATAGCATCCAAATATCTCAATACGTTTTTAAAATAGTATTTTATTGTGCAGGCAATATTGAAAATTAGATTATTTGGAATTTATTTTACATTTTAGGATTGTTTTCTTGCAATGTGGTAAGATGTCTATGGATAATATGTCTATCTGAAGTCTTTTATACACTCTGCCATGAGCCATTATATATCAAATGTCTTTACTTATATAAGACAAGTAATGTATTGATTAAGTGCAATACATTTACTTATAATGAAGTTTAATGTATGTATCCAAGTATCCTTTACAACTTTATTTAGGGCAGATCTGTTTCAAAGAGCACCAGCTGAAGATTTCCAATACAGTATATCAATGATATACATTTTTTGCTATTATCAATTTAATATTAATTATTATAATTATCAAATGTTTACTTTTTTTAACTAACATCACATTGATAAACATAATACAATTAAAATGCTTTTGACATTTAAATTATGTGCACAGTTTTATTCTGTGTATGAAAATATAAAATTACCTAAAGTATAGTAACTTGACTGTAATGCTTTTTGAAAATAATGCTAACTACACACAAATGGTATGTTTAAAACTCAGAGCAATATGATTTTGTTATAGTATAATATATGATATACAATGAATTTACAGTGTTACATTAAATAATTTAAACATGAGTGACAAATGTTTATTGGAAGCCATCATTATTGTTTTTCATGTCCTTGTTATTACTGTAGATCACAATTATAGTGATTATGTTTTTTACTACACAAGAAAACTATTGCTGCCAAACACAATGTGCATTTATTTTCACATAAGTTCACTCAGAAATCAAAGAACATTTAGAGACAGATACATTTTTACAGATATTTTATGTTTATTACACAAGATAAATCTATATATTATATTCAATAATATATTGTAAATACTTAGAATTGTGAACTAAGTTATCGCTACCATTATATTTTTAAGCATTATATTTCTATTTAAAAATAATTTTACAACAATAGTTTTAGTAACATAGTTAACATAATTCCTTTCCTAAATCATAATTTGCTCATTTAATTTTAAGAGATAATGCATTTCTATATTTCGTTACACTTACCTTGAGCACAATGTAAAATGTAATGATTTGTTAGCTGCTACTTGTAATCAGTGAAAGCAAATTCAAAGTTTAATATTTGGTGTAGTCATTCATAATATAGCAAGCGTTTTACCTCTGTACAGTTGAACTCAATCTCTTGTAGTGTGCAATTAGATACAAACTGGTGCATTTTGGTAATCCTAATCTTTGATAGTATGGTCATTCCAAGCCCCCATATTCCCGCAATGAGTAAACCAAAATAGAGGAAAAAAAATGTGATTTAAAAGAAATAAATGGTAACAAATGTAAAACTAAAACTAATACACACAGTGTTGCCCTGGTTGAAATGTCAGCATAAAAAAATGATTAAAATGCCAGTGTAACCTATAGTGCCAGATTGTAATTTATTTTATAAAACTCACATCACAATGCATATAAAGGCACTTTTTTTTAGTTTGGATAAAGGTAAAGTCCAAAATGTTAAAAATTGTCATCAGAGGAAGAGGGGTTTGTGGATATCTCTTTTCATTTCTTCTTGCATTTCCAGTACAGGAAGTGTAGAGAAATCCAGCAGGACACAGATAGCACAAAATAACCTAATGGAGATATAACCCTTCCCTATTCCACCCAAATCGATGGAAAATGGTTTGCCTATACTTTAAACATTGCATTCAATGAGACAGATGTAATTAGAATGCATATATTCCCGACATGTTTATCAGGTTAATGTTGCCCAAGCTGTGTGTGTTCATGTCAGCCTTATGGAAACTATATTCTGAGCTTAACCACAAGGAGACCCATGTCAAAGAAAATGATTAACTATCATGCTACAAAACTATAGTGAATAATACCAAACCATTAATAAATTATGATCGGCTACTATTAGAAGCTGTAAAAAAAAAAATCATTAGTTCCTTATATAGAAAAATTGTTAGCTTTTGTAAAATGTAATTCTAGTTATGGCAAGCAAAATTTGGAATATCAAAATTTGGAAATAAGTAAGCATTGACTTGAGATACCAGCATGATTTAACATGGTACTAATGGCCAAATACTATTGTACTTTAAGTGTGATGCCTAAATAAAGAAGGCATCACACACCATCTAAACCAAGTTACTTTACCAAACTGAAATTATTATACCAACGGTGCCTACATCTACTACTGAAGAATAAAGGGTTTTGATTTGTGAACACATCAAATAAACTAAAGAATGTGACTAATGAAGAAAAGGTCTATCAAGTAGTACAGTTTCAAGCCCTCCATTAATGAGAGTCAAAGTTTTGTATTAAAGGAATAGACAATCAAAAATATTTCTTGCAGACTGAAAGTATCATTCAATTAAGTCTTATTTAATAGGTTAGTGCTCACAGCAACAATAATGTGTACAGGGTAGTAATATCTAGCAACCAATCAAAAATAATCTCTTGACTAAACTAGCTGCAGCAAACTGAAAGGTAATTGGTTTCTAATGGTGCATTCTGTGAATCACTACCATTGTTTGCACTACCTTATTGAACGTAAAAAAAATTTTTAGGGGGTGCCCACTGAAATAAAAGTTGAACCCACATGGGAGCCCAATGGAGAGAAATATATGACCTTCTCTCTTCACCAATAGTGGGACCAAAATATCAGTTAAAACGGACCTAAGGTCCACATTATCTGATCCCACTGACCTGCAGGTGCTTTCATGTTTACCTGGTCTTCTTCTGAGTTCAGCGTCTGTGGACATCTCAATTGACCCAGCCGGGGGGCTTGCCAAGGCTGTACATTTTTTACAATGGAGACATAGGGGTCTATTCACAAAGCTGCCGAAGGATCTGGCCGTAGCTTCGGCCGATCCTTCGGCTAGCTTCGGCACCAGGACCCCTTCGGTTCAGGAGAACCGAGGGGGTGCTGTACGGCTATTCACAATAGCCCGTACAGCTCCCGATCACGGCCGAGTGGCTCAGTCGAGCGCTGAGCCGTGCTGAAAGACGAAGCTGGCCGAGCGGCCGGCCATGATCTTACGGCTGGCTCCGGCCACTTTCAGAGAGATCAGCGTCCCTGGTTGCTAACCAGGGACACTGATCTCCAAGCATCTGACTCTCCCTGGCGGCCCGGGAGTCTCCTGCTCCCGGCCGCCAAGGAGAAAAACCCCGCTCTGTCTTTTTTCTTTATTCTGACACGGAGCGATGTCAGAATAGAGAGAAAAAAAAAAAGTCCCATTCAAAAGCATTGGGACATTACTATTGGCTATTTCTATTGCAGTTCCCCACCAGGTCCACCAGCAGAGGGCGGGAACAATGCTAGTTTACTATTGGCTATTGCAAATTGAAATAGCCAATAGTAAACTCTCAATGCTTTTGAATGGGATTTTTTTTTCTCTATTCTGACATCGCTCGTGCCAGAATGAAGAAAAAAAGACACAGCAGCGTTTCTCTCCTTGGCGGCCGGGAGCGGGGGCTCCCGGGGCCCCAGGGAGAGTTTTTACATTTTTTTAACTTTTTACAGCAGCAGAGCCGCCGGACAATAGGAAACTATTGGGCGGAGCTAGCTGTCACTGCTAGCTCAGCACAATCGTTTTCTATTTACTTTTTTCTACTTTTTTCACTCTTTTTCTGTTCTTCTCGGTGCCTCTGAGGGACCAAGCAGAACAGCCGAGCCAAATGCCGCTCGGCGGCATTCGGCTATTCTCTCACTGCTGTTCGGGATCTTTCAGAATAGCCCGAACAGCAGTGTGAAGCCTGCCGGAGGTTCGGCTCAGCCGATCCAGATGTTGGATCGGCTGAGTTGAACTCCTTCTGCACTTCGGATCAGCCGAACATGCTGAGCATGTTCGGCTGTTTCGAAGCCACACGAAGCAAGCCGATGTACGGCTGATTTCAGCCGATATACGGCTGAAATCAGCCGTACCAGCCTGAAGTGAATAGCCGAACAGTGTTCGGCTCACTTCACTTCTGATCGGTCATTCACTCGGCTACCCTCGGCAGCTTTGTGAATAGACCCCATAGTATTCCATTTAAAGACCATGTAAACAGTATTAGGAAGAAGAGAGTGCAGGAAAATTTTCTAAAGAAGAATGTACTAGCTGTGTATGTTACTACTGTACTAGTAATGTACACAACAAGAAATAACCAGAGTTCCATCTGCAATAGACTTGATGGAAGCCATGTGGACTAGAGGCCCATAAGGCTGCTTTTAGGGTTCATTTAAACATATGTGCTGACTATGTAACTTTTTTTCTGTTCTCTAGCATGTCTGTATACTAAAGCAGCTTTAGGAAAGTATGTTCCATTTGCTTAAAATGGAGTGCGGAGCAGGTGGGGCTTAAGAATGCCGATGAGCCTGTGAATATAGAAGTATAAAAATAGTTTTTTATTCATACTGCAGAATGATTAGCTATTGTATACATTTATACACTATGACTACAATGACAGACTCAGGTAGAAAAATATCTGTTACTGTGAATTTTACAATGACATTTCACAATTTCCTCTAATTTTTCTTTTAACCTGGAAATATTTTCATAGTGTGTGAATACGCATATAACTGTGCCACATACTGTACGTGACCAAGTTTAGTTCATAGGTTTGATCTCTTTATCGTACACTCAAGCAATAAAAATATATATAAAACTACATGTAAAATAAATATATACAGTATTTTAAAAAAATGATTTAAGTGATAAGGGCTGCAAAACTCCATATAACCTCTATACGAGTAAATACTACTAGTTTTATGTACTCTTAGACCAAATAAAATCAGGTTCTCCTCTAACAATGTAAAGCTTCTTTGTAAAGGAAATAAACTATATTTTATGCCAAATTTCTTTTTTAGCTTCCATAAAGCACCTACATAAACCTGGTTTCCAGGTACATAAGCCTGGTGTCCTACACATTTGTAATATGATCCAACAGGGTTAATAAAAGACTAGACACCCTTTAGTTGGGAAAGTGAATGTTTACTTCCTAAATAAGGTTACAGCAACCCTCTCACTATAAAGAATGCAATACATACTCACTTTTCCGGCTGCCTGTGTCTCCAAACCCCATGCTGGGACATGTACTGATGCAGAGGATGTCATTAAATCTGACATCCTCTGGGTCCCAAGCAGCTCTCCCTGGTTCCTCCTCCTTACATCCATGCCACTCCTGTATTCTATAGTGGGTGGAGGTCAGAGAGAGGAAACAGTAAGGGTTAGATATTCCCAGAAGTGTCAGTTTCACTTCAGCAGAAGCTTTCTCATAATCAGAGCAGCAAGTAATTATTAACTGACTTCTTTTACAGGTATGCCTTAGTTGCAACAATTTTCTACAATGACAGGTGCATTTTAAGCTGTGATTATTTTCAATACCCAATCATGTTTAAGGAAAAATACATAAAAGCTGGATTCTTTTTTCTTGCACATGAATGAATGATTGAAGTGAACATAGGTTGACTGTATTTACAAGCCAAAATAAGAATTCCTTTTGCAAAGTAAACAATTACTTTGCTACATGAACATGGTCTCTTTTATAAGTAAATTTACCCAGAGTCAATCAAGCAGAAGAGTTACCTTCTAGTCACTACTGCTACCAGTGAGAAGGTGACATCAACCCAAATGTAGTAAATTAAGGTGATAATCTTTTTTTTAATTATATATATAGCAAAACAGGTAATGGTGTACATTCTTGGACTTCTCAAACAAAACTTAAAATTATAATAGCCTTCGAAGCTTAGACTTTGCTCATATTTATTATACAATTAATATAATGCTTACATCTGATCTCTGGGCTCACCCTATCAACCACTCCACCCCCTCCACCTACTAACCTCTAACTGATCGCTGGCATTACAAAAAAAATCTAAATGACCTTTTCAGTCAACTAAAGCTGCAGTCACATGATCCCCCAGTCCCGGGTCTTTTCTTCTGTTTACATAAGCTGTCCAGGGTTAGAGTCCTTGCAGAATCCAGAAGAGGAGTCTGCATTGGTGATGTCAGCATGAGGGGACTCTTGGGGACTGAACGACATGATGAGAGGGGGATTTTTATTTGCCCAGAGATGAGATTTAACACAGAGTAGTTTTGGTTTAATTGAGACACTTTGTAGTTGCGAATAACACTGTTTTCATAGTGTAAAATATACTAAAAATTTAATTTAATTGGAAAGTATTAGTTCATCTTCAACATTAACAAAAATAATTTTCAAAATATTCTAACAGACTTATTTAAACAAGCTAGCTCAAAGTGCCTGTGTTGCCCATTACAACCAATCAGATGTCAACAGTTATTTTTCTGTGTAGGTAAGAAAAACAAGAGGATAAGGGAAAGAAGCTGATTAATAAAGGTGCTCATAGACACAAAGGGGTTGATATACTAAAGACACAAAAAAAGGTGTACACTTTGCAAGGAAATTCTCACTTAGCAGGGGACGTTTGCCCTTAGTCTAATGAATTAGGGGACGCTCTGCTGACTTTCATTGCCCAATCATGTAAAAAAAAATGCTTTCCTTTTATTTTCCTTGTACATGATTGGGTATTGTTTACAAAGTGAAGTTTCACCACATTTACTAAACTAAGGGAAACTTCCCCTGCAAAGTGCAATTCCCTTTGCACAGTTAACAGCCTTTTTGCCTTTAGTAAATCAACCCCAAAATCTCTTCCCAATCCAAATGATTAGAATGGAACTGGGAGAATATCATAAGTCTATAGGAGTTGTGACCTCTGCATGCACTCCTATAGATTACTTATCTGAGGCAAAATTCATGTAGTTGGGCTACACTTGGTGGATTATTTGTTGTTGTTTCCCCAAGATTATGGTTCGGGTTCACTGCTTCCCAACATTTTTAGTGGATAAAAAAAAAATAGGGATTTTGCATTACAAAGAAGATAAGTCATATTGCGGTAGGAGAGCCAACATAAAATGTACAGTAATAAGCAATACAGATTATAGACATATCTTGGCCTTGAAGAAAAAATGTTTATATTACTGTCAAAGACATCAACGGTTACAACCGTCAAGACGTACTCTCGAATCCTTAGATTTAAGAAACATTAGTGTGTACCTCTTAATGTTCAAATAGAAATATAGAGGTGTATAGGAAGTTTTGTATAATTGAAAAATAATAAAAAAGTAAGGATGTGCGTATCTATCTCTTTTCAATTTCAGAAGGACGTGGGAATCACATTGACAGATATGTATATTAGTATATGTTAGGCCAAATGCAGAGTGAATGTCAATAGCCAAGCTCTCCTTAAAAAAAAAAAAAACTAAGGAGATGTTGTTGTATGGAAAGAGAGAAAAAATAAAAGTGCAGAAAGATGAAAAGAAAGAGAGGGGGTACAAAGTTTTTATAATATGAATTTCTGGCAGAAAACTTTGCCTGTTCACCAGCAGAAATAATGATCAACCTGTAGTGCAGTTTAAATCCTTGGACTCACAGCAGCCATATCATCAGTGTGTGCTGGAGCTTTTAGGAAGAATTAAAAATGTTGTATATGGATATATACATATATATTGGTGCATGTCCCCAATGGCAGTGCCCAGCTTTCCATGCCTTTTGTTTCACAATAGTTTAATAGTCCTACAAATGGCCGGAATTGAATAACAAGAGTCATCCCACATAGACTTCAATGGAGGTTGATGCAGAGTTTGTGAACTGCAAACTGAACCTAGGCAGATTTGCTCATCCCTACCCATAATGAGCAAGGAGCTAGGGAAACTAAACTTTGTATAAACATGCATGTTTAGCAGAATGCTTAGCATGCATGTTTACACACATATGTTACTGATAACAACAACATGATGTGCGGGTGCCTATAGTCCACCATAAACCATAGCTTGTGATGGCTATGCAGAAATGTTCCCTTGGTTAAAAATAGATTACATATTATCTTTCACAGCCATCCCGTTCAGCTGTTATCTCCCTTAGTTTTTCCTGATTGGTTGCTTTGGGCAACACATCCTCAAATTTAGCACTTTCTAGAGCCCTGTCCTGCAACTAAATTCCAAGATACACTCCTGCCATTCACCTAATATGTGCATTAGTGTTCTATGCGCAACGTTGTTTGACAGTTTTGTAATGACTATATAAAACTTCCTAATCAACTTCTTGCAAGTCATGTATGTTATCCTGCTTTTTCTCCCGATACATGAAGTTTGGTATGGTCTAAGTATTATACATACTAATTGTGATATGTGCTGTTCTTGTACATGTGCCAATTTTAGTACTTACTTGTTTAACACTTCACTGATTTTTTAAGAACTTTCTTTTTTTTGCAAAATTCCTACTAGAATTTCTTTTTTATGCAAAATGTGAAAATATCCTGTCATTGTGATGACTTTTTGATATGTGTTAGAGACAAATATGCCCTTTTATGATGTATTTGAACAAAATTAAAGAAAACAAGATTGTAAATGTGCGTGTTCATTTCTTCTGTGGATATTGTATGCAGATCTTGGGAATAAACCACTAAACAATCACAAAACAATCAGGCACATTTGATAAGGCAGTAGATTGAGCAACAATGATAAGCAAGTGTACAGTAGGTTGAATGCTATGGAATTTTTCAACCTATTTAGCAATGTAACTAATAGAGCCCAATGGCATTTTAGTTCACTAAAGTATGGCCACTTGAAGGCGATAAGAAAAACAATAATCTCTGCATCTAGTGAAAGGTTTTTAAAGTTTATTTAGACAATTTACTTCATAAGATTTACTTATGAAGTAAAAGTAAAGATTAGAATGTAGATAATTTAACACATGGAGAGCCTTAAAAGATAACTATGGGGTAAATGTTTTTGCAGATAGCTCTCTTTAGGGTCATGGGAGGACATATACTAACCTCCTCCTGTGACCCATAGCTCAGTATATCGGGGGCTATTGCCCGCAATATACTGAGAGCACCACAGCCGGGACGGATCCCCACAATACTGTTGAGATCCACCCAGCTGTGTGAGTGACAGCTGGCTCTGCCTAGCTAGACTATCTAGAGCTGGAGGATCGGAGAGGGGAGGGGGGAATCCCTGCAGGGAGCAGTGACTGACAGTCACCGCTCACTGCAGGGAGACAATCGGAAAGGGAGTGGATCGGCGGCATGATTCTGCTCACTTCCCGTCACAGGTCGGCTCTAACTATGAGATGAGTGGAAATCGCTCACCTCATAGTTCTCCTTTAATCAAGCCAAGAGTTAAGAATCTGATCAAAGGGGAAGCTTTTAAGCTCCAATCCTGGGCAATTGCCATGTAGTACCTCCCAAAACATCTTAAATTATTAAGAATTTGTACAAGCCACACATAAACAAATACAAAAAAACATTAATTTCTGTTATTTTGGAACACCTTGGCTTCATCATGACCCATACACCAAAATGCCTCAAAGATTACCTATCTCCACAGACTGCAAAACAAGACATTTCAAGAATGTGGAACAACAATTTGCTCTAATAACATCTTTCTGCAAAGTCAAACAAGCAAATTTGTTATATAACGTACCTAACATTAGCATATTAGCCGCAGCCCAGGGAAGATGAGGCTAAAGAGATTGGTCTAGCAGCCAGGTGGGACAGAGGATCAGGTAAGTATTTGTTCAATATTTTCACCCCCTGGGCAAAACGAGCACTTATCCTTTGTAGTGCGGGGATAGCCCCACTGCAAGGGTTAATTTTTTTAAATCCTGGAGTTCTGCTTTAAGCACAAATCTGAAGATAAAGATGTATATGAAGTTAGTGTGCCAGATAAGACTCTTTTTGACTCCTTTTTGCCCATCTTTATACATGTTTTAGTACTGCCTCCTAATGTGCATATGCAGATCCACTGTAAACAATCAAGTATTGTCTTGGCAATGTGTTTGTTACTGATAATTAGCTCTATATGCACTTGTGAAAAATAAAGAAAGAAGAAAAAAACCACACATGATTGGTAGTCGGTGGCTGCAATCAAGGTAAACCTATGATGTTTTATCAATGAATCATCCCTCTTTTTGACACGTTACATCATGTGACACAGTGACCAGGTAGGGGAATAAACACCTGGGCATAACAGGTCATTTATATGCTTCCAAATTGGAACTCCAAACACTTCTGAGAGTAAACATATCCCCTTTTCCCAGGTACTATGTTCAACTGTCGATGCATATGACTGCAACAAGTGGATTAGGGGGCTCTTCTAGTGGTGGTGTCATTTTCCCTGTAAACTTTCATGGTTTTTCCCTTGTCCAATTTACAGCCAGTTGAAATGTGTGCTAATTTAGAAGGTGGCCCACATTCACTACAGCCTGGCCATCAATAATTAATTACATAGACTGCCTGAGGGGTTCCCTTGTCATTGCAGAGTCAACATCCATCTAAGAAAAATGTCAGTTATTAAGTTATTGGTTCATCTTAGAGATGTGAGAAATTACTGAAAAACATACTTGCGATCTGGGTGCAGTCATGTGTCTTCTCCTCTTCTGGGTCAGAAGTAGGCTCAGGTATTAGCATGGCTGGATTAAAATCATTGCGCCTTGGAAGTACCAAGTTGGGGGAGGCAGAAGGGCAAGTTCTTACTTGGTTAGTCTGGCTGCAGACAGGTGCGTTGTGTTTGCATTTAACAGCACTGCATGTATAGATTGGGAACATTTTTTATTGCTACATCAAAATGATACATCCTGAGAACATAAAAGAAAAGCATACAATGAAGTTTAGACATTGTTAATTATTAAAATGTTGGAAAGAGGGGGGCGTGGCCAGCGCTTGGGACGGATGGCTGCTTGAGACGGAGCTCCGTGCCCAAGCAGACGGCGGACCGCGACAGTCACCACATCGGGACCCGGCATCATCTCCCCACTTACCCCAATCACATCAGGGGAAGGTCCGGACATGTCCCGAAAGAAAAAGTCAGGCGCTCGGCCCCAGAAAATGACGGCATTCTTCAATCTGTCGGGCCGCAAGCCACAGCAAAATGGCGCCGGCCAGCAGCACTCCACGCCGGTCACCTCCCACTTGGCTGGTAGAGGGGATCGGGACGCGGACATCAACCGCCGGCCTGAAGGTAGGAGTCACCCAGGCCCCGAGAAGCCTCCTAGGCAGCCACAGAGCCCATCACCCTCCCAGGCCTCACACCAGTCCTCATCGATTGCCTCAGGCAGCCCAGAAAAATCGAGGCCGCGGCTTTCAGGCCTAGACCACCAGGGGGAGATAGAGAGCCCTGCTCTCCTGTCCAGGGATGACACCAGAGAACTTGTGACACCTATTAACTCGTTCCCCACCGCAGGCAAGCCTCTGTCAGATTCTACACTGAAAGATATGTTTAGTTGGAAAGAGAGATAAAACTTGAGAGCAGCAGTGTGGTGTAGGGTATGTACCATTTGTATATCTCATGCACATTGTTGGTGGTACCAAGAAAAGCACAGGCTTTATGCACAGAACAAATGTTGGGGATACATTGTCACTTTATTGTTTATTGTCGGAGGTGAGTATACCAGATGTTTAGAAGACACATGAGTCACTAATCAAGACAGCGCTGTCAAATAATTATAGACAAAGCATTATTATAAATTCAGTGGTTGGAGCAGTGTTACCAGATTAGCATGTTTCTCAAGTCATGACTTTTGGAAGGCAGGATTTTATAATTTTCCTCTATTACTTATCAAGCCAATTGAAGTTTATACTACTAGCTGAGCTGCATAGTGTAAACTCACTAAGTGCTAACATTGTGTGTCTGATGTCAGCAAAAATTGCTGACATCACAGTTATATGGTAACAAGTGCACAATAAAAGGCAATGAAAGTCTTGGATGAATGCACACGTCTACCAAGGCAACCTGATGTCAGATTTCACCATTCAGACATTTTGCAGAAATCCACACGGACTATTACAAAGTTACCAGTGCAGCTTATCTCACAAAATTCTAGCACTTCCTCAAATATTGGAGTGTTGGATTGTTGGGCCACTCCCAAGCAAGACCTGCTTTGCCCTCCCCCTTGCTCCAGCAATAATATCATAAATCATCAGTGGACACTCACATTGACTGTCATTTTCAGTTTTACAAGTCTTTACTCACAACTTCAGCAACAGATTGATGGCATTATGGTCAGGGGAGTGGGAAAAGTGACTTCGGAGAGTTGGAAGTCCAAGACTCTGACACTCCAGATATCTTTGAGGTAGATGGTGTCAGTAACTCTGTATAGAAGGCATGGATTTCTGCACTGTGTGATGCTACTGCAAGTAAATATTGTAGCGAGTATGCTCATCAGACATTGGAAGATGTAGTGAAAGGGTCTATTTAAGTTAGACCAGGGATAGGCAATCTTGGCACTCCAGCTGTTGTGGACCTTCATGTCCCATCAGGCAGTGTAAGACTATGACAGCAACAGGCATTACTCCTAGAGGCATAGATAAATAATGGGATTTTGAGTTTCCCCACACCTGGGGTGTCAAGGTTACATACTGTTGAGTTACACACAAGCAGTTAACAAGTAAAAAAGCAATGCTGGCATTATTTGTTAGAAAGCCTAGCATGCTTTACAACCTAAATATCATAGCATTACACTATATTAAATGTTTTTATAGAATGAAGATTCAACACAAGTAAGAAAAACACATTACATAAAAGATCAGTTAATAAATTTGTAAAAGCTAAACTAATCAGCTAAAACCATAATTATATTATAATGTCTTTTTACATCAAACTTGTCATTAGATAAATATTTAGGCTGCCACTTCCTTCAGTAAATGCTAAATTCCCATCTGAAAGTATCCTGATGCTCTATCTTTGAGTTGAGTCTCTCACCTAGAACATGTATGCAGATCAGAAATTCTTACTCCACAATGACCCTGAACCATTCAAAACCAAAAGAAATGGCATGGCAGTCAGCACAACTAGCACATTCTGAGGTGAGTTACCATTTGAGCCCGTGTATTTTTTGCATAACAGGTTTTTTTTTTTAAACCAGACTCCTTTCAGGATTACCCTCACAGGTTTAAAGCAGGAAAACATTCTCCTTCCGAGCTGTTAAGCAGGCATACGTTTAAGTCCTGCAAATCCTTCTGTTTATATGGGGAAGGAAGTCCAACTCCCAATGTACTCCCTGGCCTCTGCAGCTGTAGGTCTGATAGACCCCAGCACTACAGTTACATCTCCATTCCACTCTCCTCCATCCCATTCACAAAAGCTTGGGGCCCTGTGTTTTCTGAATGGCATGAAAGAGAGGGGGGCAGAGATGGATCTGTAGGGTTGGGCACTTACAGCCACAGCGACCAGGAGCTAGAGTACAAGATGGGCTTCCTCTGACATACAGTATAGAACGGCGCCCAATAAACGAAATGATTTGCAATACTTAGAATTATGCCGGCATAACACAGAGGTCCTTCTGAGGAAGGAGAATGTTTGCCTTCATTACACCTATGAAGGTAATCCTGCCTGGAGTTG